GATGGCGACAGTGTATCCAAGACAGTGATCTGCAAGGTTAGTGTAAATTTGGGACCTCAGAACCAATTATTTGGTTTCCCATTATTTCTGATGGGGAAAATATATTCATTTCTCATCCTTTTCGGTGTTCGAAAACAATTTTGCAATGAACTATGATTTTTTTTACCAATGATGGTAAAGAGGAGCAACACAATCATATCAAGGTTGAAGTTCTCAAAATATGTCTTCTCATTACGGAGAGTGAACGACTGTTACTTTTACTTGCTCTACATTTATTACCTACTTTTCTTTGATTCACTCTGTCCTCCAAACACACACGCCTATGGCACACAAGTCACGACCGATCCACATCTGTAGTAGCAAACATCACCCTTCTTTTCATTCTTTTCTGTTTCCACAGCAGCATCAGTTTACCCCGTTTAATAACCGTGACCCTCAAAACATTTAATAAAACACATGAAAATTCAAAGTCACCGTGTATAGTTCCACTTCCCTCCCAATGGCCCCTCCCTGAGCCAAAGTCGCTTCTCAGACACTAAACCCGATAAAGTCGACTCCGATTTTTTGGCTTTATAGGGTAGGGGAGAACTGCTCTAAAGGGTTTCTGAGGTTGTATATCTTTAGGGAAGCCGATTGCCTTGGCGATCTGCCTCATGGATCACCGATCTTAACCGTAAGCACCGACAGGGCAGCGCTTAACCAACTATGACACCAGAGATCCTTCTGACGTGTTAAAAACGCAACTGTCTACTTTAAAACCACTCAATTACCCTGCTCCCCACGCACGCCACCTGGCCCTTCACCCCAGCCGCCCCAACTCGGCCCTACATTACCTCCTCCGTCGGCAGCGTCTTTATCTGCATCTTCCAGGTGGCGTGATGCGGCCCTGGCTACCATTTTCATCTTCTTCTTCTTCTTTAGAGAGTTTTTCAGCTTTTTTCCCGCACTCACACGTGAGTCCTGAGCGGCCGCAGCCATTTGCCACCACCGGAAGCAACCTCCGGAAGTGTCCCGCTGCTTCCGGTGCAAACGACCCTTCCGCAGATTCGTTCCGGGGCACAAGGTTCCGGGGCCGAGTCGCTCTCGGCTTTCCGGGGCCTGGTCCGCACGCAGTTTGGAGAGCGGTCTGGATGGAGAGTGGCGGCGTGTGACGTTAGCTCCCGGACACAAGTCAGCGAACGCCAGGTCTCGGCCGAATTCAGGGCCCCTCTCGGCCTTCCCCAGGTCCGCTGCTCGATTCCGCCCCACTCGGACCTTTCCCACCCTCGTCGCCTACGGCCTCACGTCAGAGGCCGCGTTTCGTGGATTCCACAGGCGGAATCGACTCGAGGGCAGCGAGCGTTTTTTGTTTTAATTTTTTGAGACAACGTTCTTTACGTGCCCAGTAAGCGCTCCCAGCAGCGAGGACGTGAGCAAAATGTGTTGCAGACCCTTCATTCGAATAGGATATTCCCGGAGCCTACATCTAACGATCATAGCGGACCGTCTCCCTCCTCGTCATCCCACAAAATTCACAGCACGCAAGGTCTCTGCTTAAAACATCCATTAGGTTTCCTTCTGGATAACCCAACCCTCTCAGTGGTTTCTAATTGCAAACCAAATACAATCTCGGTGTCTTGGTGCCCTAAGTTTTATGGAATTCACCGCCTTCCCCTCCCTCGGTCCCCGCTTCAGAGCCCAGGGTTGGTAGCGCTTGGTTGCGGGGGCAGATGGCGACGCTGGGGCTTTCAGGCTCTCTGAGCCTCCGCTTCGCGGGCCAGCTCATCCGGTGGTCCGTCTCGGGTGCAGACCCTGGGAACCCCTCAGTCATTTGAAGCAGCTTCCATAATTGACTCCGACCCTCCAGCCCTAGTGTTGGGTCATTGTATTTTTGTCTTTACACTATTGTGATTTTATCCTTACCACCTTAGTGCGATTTTGTTTTTTATTGTTTTCTGTTGGGTTTCCCACCTGTGAAACACAGTAGGAGTGGATTATAAGGATAATAACCGGTACAAGGGGTTATAGGGAATGCAGGGGTAAGGGGTGGGCGATGATAGGGAGGGAAAGGGGATTTCAGGAGTAAGCAAAGGAGGGGGTGGGGGAGAGCACTAGAAAATACTGTGATTGCACCAGTCATTTTAAAGGTGACTTAACCATGGGAGGGGGGGTGCTTTAAGATTGATGTGTTGATTGTACAATTTTCCTTGGATTGAATTGTATGATATGTAAATTATGTGCCAAAAAGCTGATATCAAGGGCTCAATAGAAAGCAAATGTTTTGAGAATGATGATGGCAACAAATGTACAAATGTGCTTGACACAATGGATGGATGGATGGATTGTGATAAGAGTTGTATGAACCCCCAATAAAATGATTTTAAAAAAACTGTTGGGAAATTTGGAAAAGAGAGAGAAGTGGTCATATCTCATATTCCTCTAGGCCCTCAAGTCTACCTGAGGCTTGACAGGTAGGTGGAGCTAAAGAAATATTTTATTTTTAATGAATGGATACTACTGATAAGATTAGTCGTGCTCTACAAGCCAAGCGTGTTCTCAAAACTCCCTAAACTTAGCGTTTTTTCATTTAGAGAGCAGCTTGGTTTTTAGTATCCAAACTCCTAAGAGAATTTCCAAATTTGACATGTTCCTGCTGATGTTTATATTGGGGGGGGGGGGGTTTACTTCCCAATGGTTCCATACAACATTTGCATTGAAGGAAAAGTTACATGCCAAACACAATTAGCAAGAGATTAAAATCCACCATGAACCTTTGGGAGAGAGCCAATCCTGTCAACAAAAGAGGAACACCTTAGAGGTGGATGATTGATACTGGTGCTCAGAATCCATCTTGTCAGTGTGACTCTTTTGCTGCTACTGTGGCAGAGTGGTTACTGTTGGACTGATAACTATAGGATCAGCAGTTCAAAACCACCAGCTACTCAGCGGGAAAAAGAAAAGGCATTCTACCGACTAGGAAATCTTTAGGGGCAGTTCTACCTTGTCTAATAAGGTCCTTATAAGTTGAATGGACTCTAGAGCAGTGAGACTTATTGGTTCCAAGGTCATAAGCCTGTTTCCCACTGCCTTGCCTATTTACCTTTGCTTTTGCCTCATGCTATACATTCAGGTCCAAACAAAGTTGGGAAAGCATTAAATGAGAAAGAAAAATGATCACAATGGAAAAAGATCATTCTGCATATGAATCATTGTTAATGTCTGATGACAAGGAAGTGGTGTTTTGAGTATGTTTCCTCTGAATTAATATTGATCTAATATTTTATTTACATACAGGGATTTAATGTGTTATGTTGCCCTTAACAGGAGCCCTGGTGGTGTAGTGTGTTAGTTGCTGGACTAGTAACCACAAGGTCAGCAGTTCTAAATCACCAGATGCTCTGCAAGGAGAGAGATGAGGCTTTCTAATAGCACAAAGAGTTTCCATAAAGAGTCCCAGAAACCCAGTGAGCAGTTCTACCTTACCCTATAGGGCCGGTCGCTATGAGTCAAATCCAGTCTATGGCAGTGAGTGAGATGCAATTAAAGAAATTGTTTGGGGAGGGGGTGGGCCGGCTCATTTGTTTGTTTACTGTTTGTTACTGTTTAGCCACTCTCTTCTCAAACTCCTGGTGACCGCGAGTGTCACAGACTAGAGCTGCTCCAGAGGGTATTCTTGGCTGTAATCTTTACAGAAGAGATCTTCCAGGCCTCTTTTCCTCTGGAGCCACCGGTGAGTTTAACCAGTAGCCTTTAGCTTAGCTGCTGATGACAAACTGCTTCCATCACCAGGCTCCTGGATGGATTTGTTACATATTCAAGGTTTTTTCATTTAACAGTGGTGGAAAAGGAGGGTAGGGTTTTCATGAGATCTGGCTTTCAGAAATTAGTTCCTCATGTTACATAGGCCCTGACTACATTAACTTACTTTAACTTTACAGTAAACACATGAGTGTCATGTCTGATGATTGTTTTCACTTTATAGATGATGAAAGTGAGACAGTGAGATTAAATAGCTGCTCAATGTCACAGAAGCAGAATCTCATTCAAAACTAAGCAATTATCTTCAGAGTTTGTGTAAAACATCAAGCTACACTGTCTCGCACACTGTGTTGAAGGGTAAGTAATGGACAAATCTAGCAAGCACGCCAACCAAACCAAACTCACTACGAATAATGGAGTGAATGCTGACTCATAGCGACCTTCTGAGGGTTTCCCACCCTGTAACTGGCTCCGGGAGTAGAAAGCCCAATCTTTCTCCCGAGGAGCTGCTGGCGCTTTCAAACTGTGGACCATGAGGATTGCAGCCCAACACGTAATCACTACGTCACCGGGGCTCCCCTAGCATTAAAAAATCGAGGTGAGGGAGCAGGAGTGGGGGGGTCTATATTTACAATGAACCAAAATAATTGGCAGGATTTAAATAGCATGTCCATTATATAATGGAAAGAGTAAAAGTCACCTATATGCTCATGTGAGGATTGTTGTAAATATTCTTGCACTAGTTATCAATTTATTGACTCCAATCTCCAAATTCATCCTTTTGGGTGCTCTGTGGAAACAGGGCTGGGTCCTTTACATCTTTTTTTAATCAACTGCCAGTCAGTCAGATTTTGCCAGTAGAGGACACTAGAGAGACATTTCAAGAGAAAACAACCTTCAGAGGTACCAGATGTGACCTCTCAGCATTTGCCTCTGCTTCTCTAGGAACCCTGGTGGAGCTGTGGATTAAGCATTGGTTGCTAACCCCAGGTTGACAGCTCAAACCCTCAAACAAGTCCCTAGGGGAAAAGGTGAGACTGCCTGCCCCTGTAAGGATGTATAGGCTTAGAAACCCCAAGGAGCTGTCTACTCTGTCCCACAGGATCTCTGAATTACAAACAAGTCAATGCCAGTGGGTTTGGGGTTTTTTTGGTTCTCAAGCAGCAGGTTCCTCCCGCTGTAGACTCCTCCAACACCTGTCACAGCAATGCACGGTGGTCAGGAGCATGAGCAGCTTCCCTCTGCAAATTCCTTCTACCGTTTCGTAGCAGCACACCTCTTGGGACACCCGTCATCAATAACATTCCCCAGCACTTTATAAGCACAGATTTCTAGCCAATTTTGCAAAATGGGTCTCCAGCAAGTTCTGCTATAGCAACTTCTTTGCCAGTCAGTGAACCCAACTCTGTCCTTTCCAACCAGGTATGGCTACCAGCCATGAGTGTACAGTGGGTCTCTTCCTTACGTGCTGTTTCTCAGCTCTGGGGCACTGAGAGCCCAGCCATGGGACCTGGTGGCACTCTGGGTTCAAGCACTGACCTGCTATTGAAAATCAGTCGGCAAAGGTAGCGCCTCAGGGAGGAGAAAAATTAAGCTGTCCGCTCCTGGAAAGATTCATAATCTCAGATGCAGCCGGTTTCTGCCATCACCACTGACTTGGCCCTCGGTCCCATCCAGGCACATCATTAGCAACTCTGCCTCCTGTGCAAGACCCCTTGCGGGCCTCTGGGTATCCTCGTTGTTACAGCCCTTCTAGGGAGCTCCTGTGGGAGGGCTCCTGTTTCCTTTCTCTTTCTTCTCTGCTCTTCCTTCCTTCTCTTGGCCTCCATCTTGGCAAATGATTTCAAGATATTGGTTCTGCTCCAAATACTTCACCTGCATAGTAGGTTATAATCACTTCCCTCACTTGCATAAGGATGTTGACAGATCCTGGCAAAGTGTGTAAAATGGTCCAATCACCGGGAAGGCAGGATCCCAGGGCCACAAAAGCTACCAAAGCCACAAGTTGTTTAGAGAGTGTCTAGATGTGACCTAACCTGGGTAAAAGTAACAAAACCTTTAGGATATAAAACTCTGCAAAACTTGCTCCTCAGGTATGAGGGCTTCTCTCAACCTGTTTGCAAAACAGCAACACAACAAGGAAAGAAAGGTCTTGTAAAGAAATTCATTACATCACAGAAGTGCTAACTCCTTATGCTCCAATAGGAGAGATTCCTCCAAAGTGGATATTATCAACTTTGAAC